GAGAGAGAGAAAGAAAGAAAGACATGGGGACCCAAGCTCTGATGGAGCAAAGGTGCTTTAATGATCTTTCTGTGAGTATATATAGGCTGTTGTACAAGAAATTTCTTTCGACAATGATAAAGATCAGAAAACCAAATGTACAGCAACTGTTACCAAGGGAACAAGGGATTAATAATGGTCACAAGGTCAGGTGACAATCCATATCTCAAGAAAGAGGATCAGACTAAGCAGTTTTGTCGTAAAGAGAATGTTTACTGAAGGAGACTGAAGCCTGCCTCACATAATGACCTCAGTCCTGGGAGTGGCTTGCTGTTCCACTGAGCAAGAACAGAGGATTTATGAGAAACAGCACATAGGAATCCTCCTGTTGAACAATCCCTGACAGTTTATCCGTTGATGGTCATTTTGGTTGTTTCCACATCTTCGCTGTTGTGAACTATAGCAAACATGGAAGTGCTTCTGTCTCTTTAATAACCTGCGTTTATTTCCTCTGGAGCTTGAGGATGAGATTGGTTGGGATTGCAGCTTGTCTGCACCGTGCCCGTCCCCGACCACACGGCCTTGGTCATGTCACTTAGGCTTGGGGTTGAGTGTGTGTGTGTAAAACAGAAACCTTGGTTAAGCAGAGTCAGGAGACCAGGAGCAGGGAGCTCTCACAGCCTGCCGCTGACAGCGGAGCCCCGGGAAGGAGAGCGGCTCCTCCTCCCCCAGGGAAGACGCAGCCAAGCAAAGCCCTGCGCGCTCCTCATGCCCGCCCCCTGCAAGGGCGCTCTCGTGCTGCGCACGTCCTTGCTTGGCGGCGCACCGTTGTTGCAGGCTCCAAATCACTTCTAGGTTGATCCTGTGCAAGCCCCTCTTTGCTGGAGAAATAGCTGGCAGTCTTTGTTTTGGGGGAACCGTGTTCAACAGGAAAAACCGAGAGTTCAGAGGTGTCAGACCGGCTGCCTGTTCCCCAGGGCCCCCGAACCCTGCTGTCCCCCTTCCAATCACAGCCCTTCCGTGGCATGTGATTTGGACCTGAGATACAGGTAGAAATCAGCCCACATGCGAGTTCTAGGCAGAGGGAACCTCCTGCACAGTGATGGGGAGCGGGGCACGCGGTGATCCTGGCACATGAGAAATTGAAAGTTTAGTATAGGCAGTTCTGAGGGTAGGGTCTGGGCACGGAGGTGGCCCACCTGGGGGGCTTGTCAGTGGGGTCTCCCAGAGAAGGTGAATTCTGAGTTGGGACAAGCCGAGGGCACATATATTCCTGCAGGGATCCTGTTACAGGAGCGCCTAGCTGTTTGTGGAGCCCATGTGGAACTCACAGACCCTTAGAGTGACGAAGCTAGTGCAGAGCAGGAGACGTGGGTCCAGCATGGACGCCTTGTCATGGGCACCCAGAGGCAGGCACCTGCAGGCACACTCAGAGAGGTCATGGGATTTACAGAGACGAGCAGGAGACTACAACACCATCACATGTACGGCTCCACAAAAATGAATCTGCAGACATGCAACTTGGACACATATGCGGGACACAAAATCCTATGCGGATGTACACACAGATACCCACCAGGGCACACAATAGAGAGGATGTATTTATATTGACCAAAGACACACACACATGAAAACACACAGGACACCCAGATACGTGTGCTCACAAGTCCCATACATACCATGAACAGTGCTCACAGGGACGTGCATGGACAATACACAGATGCATCCACTGGCAGCAAGATACGTACATGCAGACACGGGGCACTGGTGTGCAGAAGGAGTGTGGAGACATCCAGAGAAAAACTGGACGCACACATAGGCTACACAAGGACAGCAGGAACAGATACACTGAGAGAGGGGCACATGAAGAGATGCAAAGGGAGACACCTTTGCACAGCCACGTTGACATGTAGATGTACAAATGGTTGTACATGAATAGGTGGAACCATCCAGAGACACACAACAGCTCACTCGCTCACATACACACACATTTACATGGGCATTTCCAAATGCAGATAATCATATGTATCCACATAGAATGTGATGATAAACATTTAACTCTGCTCTTAAGGAAAAAGCGCATATAGATTATGTAAGTTGATTACAAATTTTATTGATATAAAGGGTGTGACGTGCTTCCCAGGTGCCACACTGGTAAAAACCCACCTGCCAGGGCAGGAAATGCAAGAGAGGTGGATTTGATCCCTGAGTGGGGAAGATTCCTCAGGGCAGGAAGTGGCCCCCCCACTCCAGTATTCTTGCCTAGAGCATTCCTTGGACAGAGGAGCCTGGACGGCAGTCCCTGGGGTCACAGAGTCCCAGCAAGTCCCAGTCATGCTCAGACACACGGGCAGCCGCTCACAGTGCAGTTTACAAATGGTAATGGTACATTCAATGGTTTTTGTCGCAAATTCCACTTGCCAATTAATTCATTCTTACACAGTGCTTTAACGCTTACATGTCAAGATTAAATTTCAACTTAAGTATGTATGTATATATCAGAAATAAGCAAATCCAGCTCCAAGCATATACCCATTTAAAATGAGGACTTTTTCCTCCAAGATATATATACATGAAAGTTTACAACAAGTTTATTGATAACAGCCAAGAGGTTGAAACAACCAACCCAACCACCATTGGGAACATGCTTAAATAAATTATGATTTGGTCACATGAATGAGGATATAAGAGTGTAGAATGTAGAAAATGAATGATAAAAATGGGCATCAGGTGATCTAATCAATATTTTGTGCTATAAAACTGGCTACTTGTTCCCCAATACTCTTTTCTTGTTCTGGACACCCAGGAGGATAGGCATGTCCCACCACCTTCCCTAACTTAACTTGGGAGCATGCAAATAAATTTTGGCCAACGGAAATGGGCTGGAGTGATTGTGAAAAATGTTTCTTCAGTTTACCTTCTCATTTATACTCCTTCCTGGGGTACCTCTGTGGGCCTCAATAGTTCCAGTTGTCACACCTCCCCAGGAATTACTACTCCTGTGGGAGCTATAGCTCCAGGTGATGGAAAGATGTTATCTTGAAGAGGACCATATTCCATGACCTTGAGCCACTAGATATCAGGCTCGGCCACCTCATGATCATACATTAGTACCAGGTCTGCCTGTTGAGGGTTATGATGAAAGGCAGGAGGAGCCTGAGTTTGTTCTTCTGAATTAGGCATGAATGATTCTTCTGTCATCTTATGCAGTGAACCATGATATGAAACTATGTTAACTCCACTGCCCATTTAAGTCTAATAGAAATTACTCTTGATATTTCTATGTTTTGAATCATATGGTCTGTAGAAATGTATCTGTTTGACAATAGACCTAGTAGTTTATGACAGTTGCCTGCATTTGTTTTAAAAAATAGAATGAATCTACAGATATACAACTGTGATCTATGCAAAATGTTTGCCATTACCTATAATTCTACTTGGTGAGTCAAGACTGATTGTATTTATATCTTGAAAATACGATCAGTGATTCTGCCAAGAGGAGACTCCGACATCTTCCTCTAGCTGTATGTGTAAGAAGTTGTGGTCATGACGAATAGTAACAGTAACCGCTCGTGTGTGTTCAGCACCAGGTCTTGTGGTAAGCACTTTTCATCTCATTTCCCACTTGGAAGGTATTTTCCCATTTTAGTTGCTGTAGTTGGGGCAGGGAGGAGGTAGACTTTCAGTTCCCACCCCAAGGGTTTCTGTGTCAGAAAGTGTAGGTTGGATCCCAGAATGTGCGTTTTGAGTAAGTTCAGAAGGGATGCTGAGTCCGTTTTGGATATCAACGAATAGCAGGGACATTTATGTTACTACATGAAGACTGCACAAGAGAGGGATATTGATCTTCAATTTTCCTTTTTTTTTTTTTTTTGTTTTGGCCGCGCTAGTAGCTTGGGGTTCGTAATTCCCGACTAGGGATCAAGCCCGGGCCCCTGTTGTGGAAGGGCAGAGTCCTAACCCACTGGGCCACCAGAGAATTCCTTTCCATCATTCAATTTAAATCTCAGTCCCCAAAACTCCCAAGAGGTGAAGCAGCTCTCCCAGGATGAAAGAATGCTCCACCTGCTGGAGACGTCGGAGGACGCTGCTTTCCTACAAGTCATCACAGAAATCTGGACGCGTCGCCTTTATGAGGAGGTCTGGCACTTCCTGGATGGCTCAGATGGCAATGCAGGAGACTCGGGTTCAATCCCTGGGTCAGGAAGATTCCCTAGAGGAGGGAATGTCAACCCACTCCAGTATTCTTGCCTGGAGAATTCCATGGACAGAGGAGCCTGGGGGGCTACAGGCCATGGGTCAGAGAGTTGGACACGACTGAGCAACACCTTTTGGTATTTCAGGACGTCATTTTTCTCGGACCTTTCTCTCTCCACCTGCTTCCGCGCAGCTGTCGGGGACAACCTGAAATCCGCCCTTTCCCTGGTTGGATGTCGGCCACAGACTCCTTTACCCAGAAGTCTGTTCTGCTGTGCATCCGCTCTGCACCAATGGCAGCCCAGAAGATGCGCGTTTCCGTTGGCCCTTTCAGACAGAGGCGGGACTTCCGGTAACACGGTTGTGACGTATTTTGCTGGCGCCGGTACTGTCAAGAGGGGCTGCGGGGCCGCCGAGTCGGCGTAGGTTCCGCTTTCCGTGCGACTCTTGGGAAGCGAATAGGAAAGGACGGTAATAAGGTCGGGGCCTCCGTCCGCGTCGTTATTACAATCCATGGTCGCCGCCGTGGGACGGGCCGCCTAGCGCGGAACAGAGGGCTGGGGCCGCACTCCTTCCCAGGCCTTCGCGCTCGCTCTCCGTCCTCGTTCGCTTCCGGAGGCGGCACCCGGAGCCCGTGCGCCGTTTTGACCGGGAGGAAACCAAGGCTCGGAGCTCGACCGTCTTCCAGGGCCCACCGCAACCAGGGGGTGTGCGGGTCCCGCTGCTCCTGTGGAGCAGCTCGAACCACCAGTTTCTCGACCAGGTTCTGCTCACAGGACCCCATGGCGGCTGCGGCGCTTGTGGACCGGGCTCAGGTGAGTGGAGGGTCCTTCAAGCCCTCGCCGACTCAGGTGTGGGGGATGTTGTGTTCTCAGGCTTTCCGAACTTGGCCTTCGTCCCTCCCTTCTCTTGAGTAAGAAGGCGGTGAAGGGCGGTCATTGACGGTGAATACGTGGGGAGGGTCCCGTTCCCCGTGTTGAGATGAGGTGCGAAATGGTTTCCAGGGCTTAGGAGTCCCAGGTACCAACACTTGGAGGTGAGGAGGAATTAAGCACGTTCTGGAAACGGCAGGTGTCTGCGGTTATGTGTGCTGAGAACAGAGAGCAGGCAGTCAGGAGTCGGACTGGAATGGCAGCCTGGGGAGCTGGACCTCTGTACTGACGGTGATGGGAACCACGGAAGGTTTATAACAGAGAAGGGAGGTGGTCTGACGTCGATGTTGACAGGCTCCTTCTGGTAGCACAGTGGAAAGACTGGGGGAGCCTGAGGGTGGGACGTGAGACCAGGAGGGAGTCGACAGCAAAACTCCAAGTGTGTTGATTGTGGGTGACTAGAGTGGTGGCTGTGGACGTTAGAGAAGTGTGTGAATTTTGTATGGTTTTAAAGTAGGGGCATTGGAGGTTTTCTGATGAGACGTATTGATGTTCTGCGACTCTTCACCTGTCCCTCCCTCTGCTCTTGAGTCTAGGGGCCTTAAAGGAGGGGTCTTTTCTAGCCCAGCACCCTGAATCTAAGCCACGAGTTATAGAAGAGGTTCCTGCTTTGGGCAGCCAGCAGGAGGAAGCCTGGGCAGGTGTATTAGACCCAGGAAGAGCTTGTGCAATGCTTAGCGGTAAGATGGAGTTGGGCGCCCTTAAGGAGCTGGGCGAGCGGCAGGCCGAGGAGCTGGGCTTCTGCTTTGAAGGCGATGGAAGACATGGGCTTCCCGGATACTCAATGGTAAAGAGTCCGCCTGCAGTGTGGAAGATGCAAGAGACACGGCTTTGATCCCTGGGTCAGGAAGAGCCCCTGGAGGAGGGAATGGCAACCCATTCCCGTAGTCTTGCCCGGGAAACCCCACAGAGGAACCGGGCGGGCTGCAGTCTTTAGGGTCCCAAAGAGACAGACTCAACTAAGTGACTGGACATGTAGCATGCACAAAAGACTTGGGAGATTTTGAGCAGAAGAGAAATGCGCTGAACCAGAACTTAACAGGCTCCTCTGGCTGCTGTCTGGTTGAGAATGGAGTGTGGGCGTGAGGGAGGAGGCTACAGCAGTGGTCCACAGAAGTGTTGATGGTGGCAAAGAAAGTCCCAACTGGGCACTGAGGACTGGGTGTCTTGCTCAGGCACTGGGTTGGCAGTGGAGCCTGTCAGACACAAAGGAGTTCTTCCTGGATTCTGTGTTCAGAGTGGCTTCAGGGGTGGGCCGAGCCTTGGAAGTGTGGACTGGAAAGTTTTCAGTCTTAATGGAGGAGGACCCCAGATATGAGGAAGGTGTGGTTCAGAGTGAGGTTCATGGTGGGAGGAGCGTAGACTGATGGCCTTAAAAGTTGTGTCTGGGAGGCATGGTCAGGGGGATGCCAGCGGGAGAGATTTGGTGCCCTTCCTGCTGGACCCGTGGCTTACATAGTCTCTGTCTGCCCACCTTCCTGATTTTTCTCTGGGCTGCACATGGTGGTCAGAGGGACAGCAGAGGGCAGCTAGTAGTGGTGTCATGGCCGAGTATCACCTCCGAGTTGGGAGGCTGGGGAGCACCAGAGCCAGGGGGTGGGAGGTGAGTGGAGGCCTGGGGAGCCCTGTTGTCTGTGGGCTCAGCTGTCCCCATCATGGCAGGGCAGTGTGACCTTCAAGGATGTGTTCGTGTACTTCTCCCGGGAGGAGTGGGAGCTGCTGGAGGAACCTCAGAGACTCCTGTACCGCAGTGTGATGCTGGAGAACTTCGCACACGTGGCTGCCTTGGGTAAGTCCCCGTTTCAGTTACCCATTGGTACATGTCAAACTACTCTAGAAGTGAGTGACGTAAAACAATACAAAGGCCTTATGTAAGCTTCACTGTGTCACGAGCTCGTTACAGCTGATGTTTTTGGCTCAGGATCTCTCATGAGGCTTTAGTCAAGCTCCCAGCCAAACTGTTCTCATCTGAAGGCCATTCTTGGGAGGATCTCATTCACAAACTCACTCGTGTTTTGTGTTTCCAAGAGGTCATTTCTTGTGACTTGTTAGACTGTAAGTGTTAGTTCCTCGCTGGCTGTTGGTCAGATGCCCCCTGGCTTCCTTGTCACCGTAGCCTTTCTGTAGCGCATCTCACAACAGGGAAGGAACCTTCTGTCTGAGCGGAGAATGTCCAGGACGGTAGCTGGTCTTTTTCTAACCCGACCTGCAAACAGTGATCCCATCATTTTTTCCTGTTCTCTTAGGAACAGGTCAGTCAGTGTAGCCTCCATCAAGGGAAGTGGCTCACGCAAGGGCAAGAACACCAGGTGATAGGTCTTCCTGGGCCATCGGAGAGGCTGCCTGCCACAGGCTCACACGCCTACTGCAGTGTCCTTAGGTTTGGTTTTTCCCTGGTGCCCTGGGGCAGCTCTTCCTGTTCTGCCAAATCAGGGGCTCTTCTCCCTCCCGTCTTGGTTCCTAGGGTAGGGGCTGTGGATGCCCAGGGCTGTGGTGGTGTCCCCTCCCTGAGCAGTCTGACACCTGCTGCCCAAAGCCTTTTGGATCAGGTTAGGAGTTCAGGGCTCTGGCTGACAGTTCTTGGGGACGGACTGTGCCAGGAGTTATAGGTACTGACATAGTCCCTGCTTGTGGAGGGCATAGGGGTGTTCTGGTGAGTCCTCCTTTGGGTTTGTTTTTGTTTTTTAACATTTTCTCTTCTTCTCTGTGGGATGGTTTATCTGGGCCTTTTATTTGCCTTGCCTTTTTTTTTTTAATTGGAGTAGGGCTGATCCAGAATGTTGTTATTTTCTGCCCACCCCGCCCCTGCTTTTTTTTCTTTCCCCACAACTTCCACCTTCGAGATCCCATGTAGTTGCCCAGTGGCAGAGAGGCAGAAAGCGCTGGGTGCCTGTGGGTGGACCTGACTCCAGCCACACTGAGGCCAGAGAGGACCTAGCACTGCCCCATAGGAACTGAGAGAACCATCTGGGAGCAGGGTTCACTTTGTGCTGTCAGCCTGTTCACCAGTGTTTTCTTGCCAAGGCCCTCAGCAGTGCCTTACTTCTCCCTTTGCTCACCGTTCATCGCACTTGGCGTCTCTCCTCTGTCGTCTTTTCCTCGGCTGTCTCCCCACCTCTCCGGCCTCTGTCCCTCCTTCCCCCCAGCTTACTCCACAGTGCTCTGTAACACTGGCTGCTTCACCATGCTGTAAGCTGTGCACATATCTATGTGGTCCAGAAGAGCCAGCCACGTACTTGCAGTCAGATTTTCCTGGGCGTGGACACAGCCTTCTGCACCAGGCTCACCTGACACCAAAAGCCGAGACCCTGCTGAAACCCTTTGTAGAGGATTGAGTTGGAGACCTCGCCTCTGCTTCCAGTACTGTGCACTATCATTGTGTCTTTACCCATCATTAGAAGTCCTTCATACCTTCAAGGTGTAGGACTGACAATGGGCCCTTCCTTACCCTGATCCTGGCCCCCTCATCCTACAAAAGCCCAAGGACTCACTCACTGGTGTGTCACACACTCAGAGGTGATGGACTTGCTGCTTCCCACCAAAGTCAACATGTCCTTCACTAGCATTCTTTGCTTTCAGGTTGTTGGTGTGAAGCAGACAATGAGGAGGCCCCTTCCGAGCAGAGTGTTTGTGTAGAAGGAGTGTCAGAGGTCAGGACTCCTGAGTCCTGTTCACTTATCCAGAAAGTCCATCCGTGTGAGAGAAGTGACCCGCTCTTGAAAGACATTTTCCAGCTGGCTGAACATCAGGGTTCATGCCCTGCACAGAACCTGGACACACATGACCCCTGTGGGCGAGGATTCCTGTTGAGTGAGAACTTTCATCAGCACCAGAAACCACGTAGTGGGAACAATCCCATCCAAGGGGATGGTGATGAGGCCTCATGTGTGAAGAGCTGTGCCACCTACGAGTTAGGGAGACCTTTTACTTGCAGGGGGAAAGGGATGGACGTGCTGGATAGCTCTAGCCTTTTCCAGCATCAGAGCACTCACAGTGGACTGAGTCCATGCAGAACAGCTGAGTTTGTGGAATCATTTGCACACAAGTCCAGTTTCAGGCGACACCAGGGAGACAGTGATGAACTGATGTTTTTCAATTGCACTGATGATGAGAAAGCCTTCATGAACGCCTTCACTCTCCTCGACAACCAGATAACTCAGGCGGTTGAAGTGCGATCCTTTAGGTGCCTACCTTGTGGAAATTTGTCCAAGGAGAAATCCACTCTTATTCGTCACAGAAAACTTCATGGTGGGGAAACATCACATGTGTGTACGGAGTGTGGCAAGGCCTTCATTCACTTGTCTCACCTAAAAACTCACCAGAAATTTCACACTGGCAAAAGACAATATACATGCAGTGAATGTGGAAAGGCCTTTAGCCGCAAAGACACACTTGTGCAGCACCAGAGAGTTCACACTGGAGAAAGGTCCTATGACTGCACTGAATGTGGAAAAGCCTACAGCAGAAGTTCTCACCTCGTTCAGCACCAGAGAATTCACACTGGAGAAAGGCCTTATAAGTGCAGTGAATGTGGGAAGGCCTTCAGTCGTAAAGACACACTTGTGCAGCACCAGAGATTTCACACAGGGGAGAGGCCTTATGAGTGCAGTGAATGTGGAAAATTCTTTAGCCAAAGTTCTCACCTTATTGAACACTGGAGAATTCACACTGGGGCGAGGCCTTATGAGTGCATTGAATGTGGAAAATTCTTTAGCCATAACTCCAGCCTCATTAAACATAGGAGAGTCCACACAGGAGCAAAGTCTTATGTGTGCGGCAAATGCGGGAAGGCTTTTGGCTGCAAAGACACACTTGTTCAGCACCAGATAATTCACACTGGAGCACGGCCTTATGAGTGCAGTGAGTGTGGGAAGGCCTTTAGCCGTAAAGATACGCTTGTGCAGCACCGGAAAATCCACACTGGAGAAAGGCCTTATGAGTGCAGTGACTGTGGAAAATTCTTTAGCCATAGCTCCAACCTGATTGTGCACCAGAGAATTCACACTGGAGCGAAGCCTTATGAATGCAGTGAATGTGGGAAATGCTTTAGCCACAATTCCAGCCTCATTCTACACCAGAGAGTTCACAGTGGAGCAAGGCCTTATGTGTGTAGTGAATGCGGAAAAGCGTACATCAGTAGCTCCCACCTTGTTCAACACAAGAAAGTTCACACTGGAGCGAGACCTTATGAGTGCAGTGAATGCGGGAAATTCTTTAGCCGCAACTCTAGCCTCATTCTACACCAGAGAGTTCACACTGGAGAAAAGCCTTACGTGTGCAGTGAATGTGGGAAGGCCTACAGCAGAAGCTCCCATCTTGTTCGGCACCAGAAAGCTCACCCTGGAGAAGGACGTCATGATTGCAACAGTTTTGGTGACCCTTTAGCTGCGTCTCTTAAACTTGTTTAACACCGAGAAACTTCACACTGGAGAAAGGCCTTATGAATGCAGTCAATGCGCTGTGTCCCTTTTCAAGATTATAGGACTCACACCAGCAAAGGTGGGAATCATTGTTGGTACAGAGACACTGAGATAATGGAGTGGGGATGACTGAGGCTCGTGAGAGGATGGGTGTCTGTTCTTAAGGTGGCGTCTCTATATGTCCTTGCAATTTTGGCTGTATGGCATGAAAGTATACAGAAATTCTCAGGACCTTCACACTTGAGTCTCCTGTGTCTGACACACTGTCTAAGTAAATAAAGGTTTGTGGATTCCTGTATCTCCCTGGGCTGTCGATGTTCTGGCCATCACTGCACAGGCAGGAGCCCCAGCAGTGACAGAAGAGAGATCCAGGGCTTGGGCTTCTCTGACCAGCCAGCATTCCTAGTGAGTAAGGTGGACATGGACTTCATTGCTCTGCAGTTTTTGCTGATCCTGAGGCAGGGCTTATGCTCCTAAATTGTGTGGAGAGGGATATGGTAGAACCAAAACAGTTGGCAGATGGGACTTTCCAAGAAGAATGGGAAATACGGATATTTATGGGTAATATTTAGTTCTTAACATCTTTGTTGAAGTATGATGACATGAAATAAATGGCATGTATGTAAAGTGTAAAACGTTTTATGATTAAGCATGTATATATACTGACGAGACCACACATGAAGATAATGGAGATATCCAACACAGCCAAGAGATTCCTTGGGTCCCTTAATAATCCTTTCCTCCTCGTCCTTTCTAACCCCCCTTTCCCATAATTCACATAGTAGCAAGCATATTCTAGAATTTCATATAAGCAAAATTATATACTTTCCAGAGAGTGGGGACTCTGGCACTTTTCACCAAACATAACTTTTTTGACATTAAGCCATATTATTGCATGTATCAGTTACTCATTTGTCTTGTTGAGTACTATTCCATTGTATGGATATACCACAATTGTTTTTTTATCCATTCACTTGTTAGTGGGTGTTTGGGTTGTTTCTGGTTTGGCTGTTAACAAATAAAGCAGCTGTGAAGATCTGTGTATTAGTTATCATTGAATTATATTACATTGTATGGATGTACCAAAGTTTGCTTATGCAGTCACTGAAGAACATCTTGATTGCTTCCAAGTTTTGGCATTTATGAATAAACTTGCATCATGCATTGTGTGTAAGTGGATGTAAGTATTCAGTTCATTTGGGTTCAAGCCAAGGAGTATGATTTGCTGGGTAGTAGTAAGAATGTTTTCTTTTTCTAACTTTCTCATTTTTTTGGCTGTGCTGTGTCTTCATTGTCATGCACAGGCTTTCCCTGCTTGTGGCAAGTAGAGGCTACTCTTTTTTTGTGTGCACAGTTTCACGCTTTGGAGGCTTCTCCTGTTGCAGAGCACGTGCCCTAGGCTTGCGGGCCTCAGTAGTTGTGGTGCACGGGCTCAGGTGTTCAGTGGCATGTGGGATTCTTCCCAGACCAAATGTTGAACCCGTGCCCGCCACATTGGCATGCAAATTCTTAACCACTAGACCACCAGGGAAGTCCAGTAAGAGTAAGACACTGTCTTCCAGAATGGCTGCAAAAAATCCTTTTGCATTCCCAGTAGCAATAGAGAAGAATTCTAACTCCAGGTCTTTGTCAGCATTTGGTGGTGTCAGTGTTTGGGATTTTTGCCAAATAGTTGTGTAGTAATAGCATGTTGTTGTTGCTCTAACTGCAGTTTTGTAATGACTTATGACAAGTATCTTTTCATATTCTTTTAACAGTGTCTTCTGCTTTCAGAGCAGAAATTTTTAATTTTAGTCAAGTCCAAGATACTCAGTGTTTCATTAATGGATTGCGTTTTTGGTGTTGTAGCTAAAAACTCCTCACCATACCCTAAGGTCTTCATTATCTCCTGTGTTATCTTCTAGATGTTCTGTAGTTTTGTTTTTAGGTTTATTATCCATTTTCCAAAAATACTGGTGAAAAGTGGAAGATTTGTGTCTGGATCATTTTTTAAAACCCCATTTGTTTAAAAGACTATCCTTTCTCCATTCCTTAGCCTTTGCTCACTTTTTAAAGCTCACTGACTATATTAGTGTGAATGTATTTCTAGACTGACTGTTCCAGTTCTTTCCATTTATTGTGATAATAATATGGCTGTGGGGGCTTTTTTCTTGTGTCTTATTTATATGGTATATTTCATTAATTGATATTCAAATGTTAAACCAACCTTGTATTTCCTGGGACATATCCCACTAGATCATGTTGTGTATCAGCAAAAACTACTTAGTATAGTTCTATATAAATTCTTCGTGTCAGAATTGGTAATTCATATCTTTCTAGGAATTTGTCCATTTAACTAAATTCTCATTTGAGAGGATTAGGATTGTTTATAATATTCCCTTATGAGACTTAATTTCTGTAGGGTCAGCAGTGTCTTCACTCCTGATTTTGTTAATTTGTTATATTCTTTTTTTGTCCACCAACCTAGAGTTTTGCCCCACAACAAATCCTTAATTTGCAACTGCAAACAGTGTCAATCTGACTTTTGCTTAGCAGTAGGGAGTCAGCAAGAAAAAGAGCAAGGGGAGAGGGGCTAAGAAGAGAGATCAGAAGGATAAGGGGCAGGACAGAGCTGAATGTGGGAGGGGAGAGAGCTGAGTGTGGGAGGCAGCTGGAGGTCATGGAGACGGAGGGTTTACAGGGCATTGAGTCTCCCTTGTTTCTGCTGAAGCTTCTCTGCTTGCTCAGGTTTGGCCAAGGAATCTTTAGTGATGTAACATTTCAGAATTGAATTTGGAGGCCTCTGCGTACTAATAAAAAAGGCTATCCATTGGGCCTGAGAATTCTAATTTATTTAAAGAATTCCTTCATTTTCAAACGGGTCTCTCAAATGAACCTTTTTGTTCAAATCAGGTGTTCCTCTGAGTGGCCATTGAGAGCTTAAGTCATCCTTTGTACAGTTATCTTATTCAGCACGACAGGCACAGAATTAGGATTGTAACAGGAATAGGAAATACAGGGGTTTTTCTGGGGAGAGAAGATTCAGACTTAGACAACCCCAAGGCCAGGCAGTGGTCACTAGGAATGTAATTCTTGTGGACCTTAGTTTCCTGACCTGATGTTTGGCCGCCTCACCCCACAGACCCACAATGATTCCCCTGGCCTGTGGATACTGGAGAGAATGTCCTCTCTATAATACTGCCCAGCTCACACTACTATACAACAATTTCGAGATGGAAGGAGTCATTTGGTTTATTGGTGACCCACAGGGCAGTTTGTCATGTAGCCTCCAGTACTAAGAGAACTGCAAACCCATTGGTCTGTGAAGCTGGTTTGAACAGGTTTATAGGGCAGTACTTCTGTTCCCGCCATGATTCAACTCACAACAAAACTACACTTTTTGACAGCACAGAAAACAATAACCAGTATCTCAAAGGACAATAAAAAAGGTTTGAAAAGGAATGGCCTGATCCTCCAAGTATCTCAAACCACTAGGAACTAACAACAAATTCCAGGTGTCAAGCTGAGAATGAAAAGCCAAGAAACTCAACACAAAACAGAGTTTAGACCCACTGCTGATATACCACATCTTCAAGGACTCAAGTTGTCCTTGAGAAGCAAGGCACAGGGGGTGTCTGTGGTACTGCACCTGTGGAAGGCTGGGGTCTGCGGTGACAGCTGTTGCAGACCAGATCTTGGTGGGACTTCCACAGTAAACATAATAGGCTGTCCCACAGCTTCTACAGTGGATGCATCCAGTTTATGTTGTTCCCTTCCCCATTGAATGTTGATTAATGAGATACAGTCTCAACTCACACTGAGTTGGAGGACTGATGATGATAATCAGTGTGGAAGCTCCTTACAACTTCTATTTCTTTTTTAGCCTTGTTAATCTGAATTTTTCTTACCAATTACTTTTTCACTTGCTTTAATACTAGTTGAAGAAATCATACAGCTCTCATGTTTAACTATAATGTTGGTCCATTATTTTTAATATTGAATGAATAGTTGCATATCATTCAAAGACCTTGAAGAGGACTTTTACCACATTTAAGAAATATCCACTCTCCATGAAATCACAAAAAAATGTATACTTGCATTTTTATATTGTTTATACAAACAATAGATAACAGCAAGGTGAGCAATAATAGAAAATTGGTTTTTTCAATCTCCCATGTGCATCAGTTTGTCACAAGTCCAAACTCATAACTGAGAGTTAAAAGGTTGAGCCTTTGAAATGTCTGCAAAGTTGTGAACTAACAGTGACTTGAACTTGGTACCTAATACAAAGAAAGAAGGGCAGAACTACCTGTTTTCCTGCCTGCAAGGAAGAGCTCTAGTTGTCAGGCAGTCACCTCAAAATGGGAAGTCTGGCATTCAGGAGTTGGCACTTTCAAAAATGGGCATATTTAAGGACTGATGAATTTCCAGGAGTATTACTGGGCTCAGTACAGTTGACTTGGAAACTTTTGGAAGCGGGGTTGTATAGTGAGGCATTTACTGATTGGTTGTTACCTAGGGGCCTGAACACTGTTGGCTGGATTCTAGAAGGTTGGCACTGTCAATTATTTGCTAATTTCTGGAAGCTTGAGTTTACTGGTGTGAGGCTGTTGCTGACTAGTTTTCACAGATTATCTGAAGTTATCTCTAATGTGTTTTCTTGTTCAAGATTTTGGAATTTGGCTAAAGGAAGTCTTTGCCTTCCACATATGAAAAATAAACTCATTAATTCTCAGTCCCCCCATCAGCAGACGAATGGATGAGGAAGCTGTGGTACATATACACCATGGAATATTACTCAGCCATTAAAAAGAATTCATTTGAATCAGTTCTAATGAGATGGATGAAACTGGAGCCCATTATACAGAGCGAAGTAAGCCAGAAAGATAATTCTCAGTCCCTTCTTTTGTTTTCCTTAGCCAGACTCTCAGAAGAGACCATAAGGCATTATGAGAAGGCTGTTTATGGGGACATGTTTATGAGCTAATGTTGCCCCTAAATTATTTAATTGGCAATTACAGTGAGAGAAAAATAGCTCTAACTACTAACTTTTTATAATGTTAAAAAAAAAAAACCTGAAATCAGAATATTTAGGGTGTTGTGACAGTATCAATACAGGACACAGAACATGTGCTCTCTACACAGAACAGCTGGCAGTCTTATTTCCAATGTATGTCACGCAGCTACTCTTGTACCTGAATCCTTTTTAGTACTAACTGAACATTTATAGGTTAGTAAATATACAACAGCACAATTTCTTCATTCATTTTTACCTATCGGCAACTCTTTTTAAATACTGTCTTTACCTTTCCCTCCAAACTGTTAATGCATCATGTTTTCAAATATGAAAATAATCACATTTTTAACCAAACTCTGAGTGTGTCTAAGGTTTCAGCAAGCCCTGAGGTCTCAGCTTCATTTTCTGACTTCTCAGACTCAGTGACTTACTCACACTTGACCTTAGCCAAAACGCTGAGAAGCTATCAGTGACTCTTACTCAAACTTCATTGATTTCTTTTCTCCCACTGTCACAAATAAATTTCTCTAGAACCATTTCTGCCACTTCCCTTGAAAAACTATAAACTTATTATTAATAACATTTAACAACATCCATTTAACAAGTATTTTTCCAAAGACAAACCTCAACTCCCTGTGTATATACTGTTGCGATAATTTACGAGTGAAATGATAAACCATTTCCCAGCAAGGAGATGAGATTACGGAATCACAAACCTTTATATCAGGGATAAGCTGGCCCCTTTGCACACATGGTCAGATTCTGAGGGGCATATACTGTCCTGGCAGAAGATGGCACAAGATAAGTTCTGCTTCTGTTAGAGAGGTTTCACATTCTTAATCACTCAGTATTCAGGCAGGAAAGACATTTTCTGTGGGAACCAGGGGCACCTCTTAACCCTTTTAAGCTACTTTGGTGACTACAAACATCCCCTTTCCATGTTTCCCATCCTAAGCCCCGTCTGGGGGCTTTTCATATTGTGTTTGAGTGAACCTACTGAAACTTACGGAAAGCAGAGTGTTCATGTTTTTGACAAGCAACAAGATAGCTGACAACTATGAGACGATGCTGCGTAACATTACAGTATGGTGGATCCCTTTCCATGTGCAGTCGCTGGAAGTTTGCTACAATTCATGAAGTCTGAAATAATAGGTCTCTAAACATTTCTGTGACATGCCCTAGATTACATCCCAAGGAACTCTGGGTATACGCCCTTTAAGAGCAGCAAAACCCCGCTGGGTTTACAGCTTCAGAATCTCATGTCCCAGAGCCCTTCCCATCCTCCCTTAGCCTTCAGCCACAGTCTGGAACTACCAACTTTGAGAAAGCACAGGTAACTAAGGTGGTGGAAACTACTCTACCTACAAGGCTGTGCAGCTATGGCCGTGCACCAGAGAGATTTCTGGGTAATGTAGCTTGCTCTGCCAACACCACCTACCAGCTCTTGGAGAGGAAGTCACTTCCTACCGGACCTGCAAAAGCCAAGAAGCACCCGCAGGGACACCAGGAAAAGGCGCTCCCTGCTCCAGCCATGGGAGGGCCTTCGCTTCCTCTTAAATGGGATGCTCCTAAATTTGTAGAGGAGTCTTGAAACAGCCCACAAAGCTTAGGGACCTGTAACTTGAGATAGTCATATATTTGTAATAGTGGTAAAGAACCCGCCAGTCAATGCAGGAGACAGAAGCAGGTTCGATCCTGGGTCGGGAAGGCCCCTGGAGGAGGGCGTAGCATCCCACTCCAGTGTTCTTGCCTGAAGAATCCCATGGACAGGAGAGCCTGGCGGGCTGCAGTCCACGGGGTCGCCAGGAGTCGGAAACGACTGAAGCAACCTGGCATGCACACACTAACCACATCTAGTTCGCATCTGCACACCGAAACGGACACATCACATGACACTCTGTGTCCACTCATAGCTGTCACCTATCTTGTTGCCTGTAAAATACATGTAGACTAAAGTTTCAGAGACTGTTTCATGACCTTCAGCATGCAAAAGACCCCAGACAGGGCAGGAGGGAGAGTTGGAGAGGTGGTATATTTCCTGCCTTGGTCATGAGTGATTGTGGTCCAACCTAGCAAACAACACTTTTATTGAAATGTTTATTAGTCTGAGTTTCTTTCAAAAGCTGAAGCCCAGCTCTAAAGGAGAGCAAATTATCATATGCCATTTCCTGCCAGGATCCATCACTAAACAAAGATGATAGATGACAAACTTTATGTACATTTTGCCACACCAAAATGATTAATGATAAATGGATAAGAACTTTTATGACACAAACACGCAGCTGAAAGACACTACAGGAAAAAAGCCAAATAAGAAAAATATAGAAAGATATGCCAATGGAAGCTTGGTTCAAAATTTAAGATATTAATTTCCTATGAAACAATTTAAATTTCCTTAAACTTAATTTACCCACTTTATTTATTTATTTTTTCACTTACCCACTTTAAACAACTTTTTCTCAGAGTGATTGTCAGAAAATGCAGCTCTAGTATATTACAGGGCCTTGCTTATTCCTATATGATGCCATGCTTTTGCACACACAAAATAATATTAAATATAATACTAAAAATACATTTTATATATATACAAAAAATAAATGCATTTACTGAAAGCAGCCATCCATGAATAACAATAAAGTTCTAGGAAATACAAACTGTACTGGGAATCCCCTGGCAGTCCGATGGTTAGGACTCTGCAGTTTAACTCCTGAGGTCCTGGGTTCAGTCCCGGGCAGGGAAATTAAGATCCTGCAAGCTACATGGTGCGGTTAAGAAAAAAAAAAATCACACTGTAATAGCTCCCTGGAGATGGCCGGTTGGCTAGGGCTGAGCGAGAGAATACAGAGGGGTCAGTGGAAATTCTATAAGTAATGGACATGTTCATTATTATGATGTTGGTGATGGTCCCCTTATGCACTCGTGTGAAAATACATTTTACACTTCCAGTGAATGGTTTAATATGTGTCAGTACCTCAGTAAATATGTCAATAAAATTTGGATTTCTTCATCTATAAATATCTGGCAAAGTATTAGTACTGACTCCATCAGCACCCTTCCCTATGTCTTAGGTGGGTCAATTCTGATTCCTTCTCAAAGCAGAAGGAAGTACTAACAAATGCTTCAACATGGGGACATTATGCTAAACTAAATAAGCCAGTTGCAAAGGGATGAAAAATGTATGATTATAATTGTATAAAGTATCCAGAATAATCAAATTCATAGAGACATATCTGGTAGGGAAGGAGTAGGAAGAGATGTTGTTTAATGGGTGTAGAGTTTTATGTTTGCCAGATGACAAGAATTCTGGAGATGAGTTGTGTAATATGTGAGTTTTTACACATACTAAACTGTACAATTTAAAAGGTAGAGGGTTAACTTTGTTACATATGTTTTACCACAGTCAAAATTAAAGCAGATATTTTGCTGAAGTCTTTCCCCATTTATAACACTCTGCTGTGAACTTTTCGACGCTGAATGAGGTGGAAGTTTTGGCTGAACTTAATTTAAATTGTTGCAGAAATAAAGTCTTTCTCCATTGTGAAATCTCTGATGTGCAACAGGGCTGTTTCACCTAAAGACTTACGCTACATTCATTGCTCTCAGAAGGCCTTCCTTTGCTGTTAACTCTTGATATCTGAGATGTACCCAAAAATTTCCCATGTTTCCTGTACTCCAAATGTCCACTCCGAATCAACTCAGACTGCTTCTCCAGTGTACGGAGTTTGGCGTTCTTGTGTGCTAAGTTGCCTCAGTTGTGTCCAAATCTGTGCAGCCCTATAGACTGTAGCCTTCCAGGCTCTTTTGTCCATGGGATTCTCCAGGCAAGAATACCAGAATGGGTTGCTATGCCCTCCTGCAGGGGATTTTCCACACCCAGGGATCAAACCAGCATCTTTTGTGTGTCCTACATTGGCAGGCAAGTTCTTTACCACTAGGAGTTTGGAGTAGTACCTAAAGAATTTACCATATTCTCTTAATTCATAGGGTTTTTACCACTGTGAATTCTTTCTCAATGAGGTTGTTCAGTTCAGTTCAGTTCAATTGCTCAGTCATGTCCGACTCTTTGTGACCCCATGGACTGCAGCATGTCAGGCCTCCCTGTCCATCACCAACTCCGAGTTTACTCAAACTGATGTCCATTGAGTTAGTGATGCCATCCAACCATCTCATCCTCTGTCATCCTCCTGCCTTCAATCTTTCCCAGCATCAGTGTCTTTTCAAATGAGTTACTTCTTCACATCAGGTGGCCTAAGTATTGGAGTTTCAGCTTCAACATCAGTCCTTCCAATGAATATTCAGGACTGATTTCCTTTAGGATAGACTGCCTGGCTCTCCTTGCAGTCCAAAGGATTCTCAAGAGTCTTCTCCAACACCACAGTTCAAAAGCATCCATTCTTCAGCACTCAGCTTTCTTTATAGTNCATAAGGCTTTTCTACAGTATGAGTTCTTTGATATCTAGTGAGTGTGGAGATATACCAAAAGAATTTCCCACATTTCCTGTACTCATAAAGCCTTTCTGTGCTTTATGAGTGAACACTGATGTTTAATGAGGACGGATATGTCCCTAAATAACTTTCCACATTCACTGCACTTGGCCTTTCTCCAGTATGAATTCTCTCATGTTTAATGAGTGTTGACTTAAAGAATTTCCCACATTCACCACATTTATAAGGCCTTCTTACATTGTGACCTCTCTGATGTCTGATGAATGCAGACCTGCACATGAAAGTTTTCCCACATTTGCTGCACTCATAAGGCCTTTCTCCAGTATGAACTCTCTCATGTCTCACAGTCTAGTTGCATCTAAAGCATTTCCCACATTATCTGCACTCGTAAGGGCTTTCTCCATTGTGAATTCTCTGATACTTTATAAAGCATTTCCCGCATTTGCTGTGCTCATAAAGCTGTATTCCAGTGTGGATTTTCTGGTGCTCAACAAGTATCTGTTTTCGGCTGAAGGCTTTCCCACACCGAGCGCACCTGTAACCACTCTGTTCACGACCAAAGGCCTCCTGGCACTCAGTGTCCCCACGTGGCTGCCCCACACCATGAGGGCCCAGCTGCTGCAGAAGGCCTGTGCTGCCTGGGAAGGGCTTCCCACCTTCACTGCACGTCAAGGTCCTCTCTCCTGTGTGAACACTGCTGTTGGTCAGAAATGAAGGCTGCCCCTCAGCCCTTCTGCAAAGTTTGTCTCTAATCTCCTTCTGGTGCTGGAAAAGGTCTGCTCCACAAATGTACCGTCCTTCATCAGGGTACATTCCATCATGCTCAGGCAGGGGCAAAAGGAGTCTGGAGAGTGGGCCACACATGTCACTGGGCTGGGCCTTCCTGGAGGATGGACCTGGCTTTGCAGTCCTGACCTCTGACATCCCTACAGAAACAGAAGAGGCTAAGAGGCCTCCTCACCCTGGGCTCCATGCCAACAACCTGTAACCAGATAGATGCTGGTAAAGTGCATGTTGACTTTGATGGAAAGGACAGCCCCATCAGAAATATGTGTGTCACACACACCCAAGACCAAAGCCAGATTCAGGAAGGTCTGCTGTGCAGAGATGGACCTGGAGAGCTTACATGATGAGAGCACCCTGACCACGGCTAAGGAGTGAAGGAAAAGTTACTGTTTCCATTTATTTGAGATGCTATGATAAAATATCACAGGATGGCTGGCTTATAAGTAAGAGAAATTTATTTCTCACACTTGTAGAAGATGGAATCTGGAGATCAGTCTGCATTTTCCTAGGGTGCAGACTTCTTCATTGTCCTCACATGGTGGAAGGAGCTTTTATGATAGCATGAATCTCATTCACAAGGGCTCTGCCTGCATGACCTGGTCACCCTAAAGTCCCTATCTCCCAATACTGTCACCTTGGGCACAAGGTTTTCAACATATGGATTTGGGGGCAAAACTAACATTCAGACCATAGCAGGGAGGAAAGGCAGGCCTCCAAGTAAACACAGGCATGGCTACTAGTGGCAGTAAGCACTGCAGCAAAGGTTGTTTCCAGACCTAGAAATACCTGACAACAAAAGTAATGCTACATTCCAAGAACTATATGAATATGTGCAGACCTCAAGACATCTCATGTATAGGTCAAATGTAGAACACTGCAAAGGGCCCAATGAAATGGAACATGTGACAAATGAAGGCCCTGTAGGTGTGCTTAGACTGTGGCAACAGAAAGCAAAATGCAGAAGAAAAAGAAGCAAGGTGTGGCCAGTGGTCATAGCATCAGTCAATGGTGAACACAGAACAGGTTCCCAGCTCTGACATGACACCCTTTCCCAGGATGTCGCACCAAGCCCGGGTACTTTTAAGTGTCTCCTGCCATTGATGCAGTAATGTCCACACTATAAGGTACCCAGGGTTCTCTAGAGATTCAACACAGGTCATCTGATGTGCTAAAACTGGAAAATCCTGCCAAAATTTGAAGAGTGTGGTTTATGAACCACCACCAACCTCATGCTACCAGTCAAGGCCTGATAACCTGTGCACCCCAGCTCCAGCACCCCATTCCCACCAGATATGACAAAACCAACAGTTCCGTGCACATCCCACCTCAGAATCACCTGCAGCTGTCTGGACATTTTGCATCCTGTGGCCAGGACTCCCTGCCACACCTTCCCCCATCAGTTGTCAGAAATGGAACCATTCCATATAACCCAGGATTAAATATAGGGTTCTGGACCTGGTGAGAGCNAAAAAAAAAACCTTACCTTGTAAGC